CAAGCGTGAATAATGTGAGAACATCTTTACATTGTTCAAGAGTAGGATAAAACCAACAATACCTAATTACGTAACTTTTAGAGATCATGGATATTAATGGTATACCAGGCGTGAATAATGTGAGAACATCTTTACATTGTTCAAGAGTAGGATAAAACCAACAATACCTAATTACGTAACTTTTATAGATCATGGATAATAATGGTATACCAGGCGTGAATAATGTGAGAACATCTTTACATTGTTCAAGAGTAGGATAAAACCAACAATACCTAATTACGTAACTTTTATAGATCATGGATAATAATGGTATACCAGGCGTGAATAATGTGAGAACATCTTTACATTGTTCAAGAGTAGGATAAAACTAACAATACCTGTCATATACCAAGCATGAATACTTTGATAACCACAATACATTACCAAGTTTTTTTCGGGAATACCTTTGTTCTTGTCTGACAAATCCATCATACAAACAAAACTTGAGGGTTGAAAACAAGACTTGGTTTTCCACACTGGCTGTAGCTGATCTTGGATATCCAGATATACACAGTTAGTTTCATTCCCAGGTTCTCCAGGAGCCCAGAATGTTAGGCTGTCATTCAAAGCAACACTACTGCGATCCATTAGCTCCCAAATAAAGTGATTATCAGCATCTAATCTGTGTAGTCCAATCCACGTCGTTGCTAACCCTAACCAGGAAAAGTTTCACAACTCAGTTTCTAAAATTTTTTAATGTATAAAACGCAAAGGAAAGTTAAGTTAATGTTTTATTGTTAAGGTTAAACTTCAGAAACCACTTTATCTACTACGTTTACAACAAGTTGTTACCATATTTTACGTCGTTTACGATACAAATCATCTGAAGTGTTTCAAAAGCATTTTAATTTGAATTTTTAAAAACTTAATGAATTCACATACTTACTCTGTATATAGGAAACCTTAGAATTGTTGGTTAAGTTATTAGTTTGTTGGTAACTCTACCTTGTGGTCAATTAGATAACTTTATAATGATGCCGAAGATTGTATATCAAAGTGGGAGTGATTTTGTGTGAGAATGAGACAAACACTACTGCTTTTTTTGTATTTCCAAATTCATCAGGTAAACAGAAATAATACCAGCAAGAAAGGCTCTGTTGCTCTCCGATTGGTTTGTTTGTTTCTTGAATTTTGCGAAAAGCTACTCGAGAGCTATTTGCCCTAACCGCCCCTAATTTAGAAATGATAGGTTATAGTCAACACCACCTACCGCAAACTTTTGGGCTACTCTTTAACAACGACAATACCTCATGGCCGAAAGGGCAAGTATATTCGGTGACAGGAATCGAACCAGCATCTAGCAGATAGCTAGTCGAACGCCCTAATTCCATGGCCCACTGGTGTGTTGTAACTACAACCATTGGTAGATTTGGTAATTAGTTTGTTATTAAGCACTACACAATGAAATATCTCTGCTGTGCCCATCGTGAGTATGGAAACCAAATTTTTAATCATTTGAGGAAGGATTTGTTTGTTTTGAATTTCGCGCAAAGCTACACGAGGGCTATCTGCGCTAGCCGTCCCTAATTTAGCAGTGTAAGACTAGAGGGAAGGCAGCTATTCATCACCACCCACCGCCAACTCTTGGGCTACTCTTTTACCAACGAATAGTGGGATTGACCGTCACATTATAACGCCCCCACGGCCGAAAGGGCGAGCATGTTTGGTGTGACGGGGATTCGAACCCGCGATCCGCAGATTGCGAGTCGAGTACCCTAACCACCTGGCCATGCCGGGCCCTCTAGTAACAGAATTTCGAAGTTTTGTTCACTGAATGGAAGAGTTGGTACTATTGTTGTAAGTTTTTATTTCTTATTATTCACCGTCAATTTTAGGTTTTATAAACATGCAGAATAGTTAGTATGTGTTTGGAATTTATTACAATTTTTTTTTATACGTGTCGTGTTCTCAAAATAATCAAAAAAAATAGTAAAAATGACAAAACTTTGTAATAGAGAATTTGTATTGAGAAGACGTTTCTGAAAGTTATATTACAATGTAATTCAAAAACTTTCTTAAGCACATCATTATTTGACATTGTCTCTCACTCATCTGGCATGTTTTTCATCTTGGCATGAATAACCTATACAGGAAAGTCAGTCTTTACAGACACAGTTTAATAGTTTTAGCATGTAAGTCTGCGGACTTATACCGCTAGAAACCGGGTTTCGATACCCGTGGTGGGCAGAGCATAGATAGCTCATTGTGTAGCTTTGTACTTAACTACAAAACAATCAGCTTACTCATCTGATATTTCAATTAAATTATTTTAAATCAAAGTAAAACAAAATAACTTTGTTTTAAGCTTAGCAAAGTATGCTGCGCCCTTAGGGTTAGTGTTGATATGTATTCACTTTTATATTGCACGTGACATGAAATAAGGTGTTGTGATACATCGCACTATTTACTCCTGCGGATTCAGATTTATCAGTAGTCTTTGGATTGATACTGAACGAAACGTATTTCTGAGATTATGTTACAGACCATGTTTTTCTTTTTTATTACTTTTGAAAGTTATCCGTACCAAATGCTACCGAGATTATAAAAAAAGGCTGCAAAGCTTAAGTTTGTGGTGATTGTGTACTTGTCG